ATATATATATATATATATATATATATATATATATATCAAAGACCGAAGATCATTGTATTCTTAGACATTCTCGCGGATTTCGACTCTGTCGATAAGGCCACACTATGGAACTGTTTGTTGAGGAATGGAGTACCTAAGAAGTATGTGTCGATCCTCAAACAGTTGTATCGTCATACCTCAGGTCGGGTTAGGGCCTATGGCCAGCTTTCGCTACCCTTTGCTGTCTCCAATGGAGTTCGGCAAGGTTGCCCTGTATCCCCATTCCTTTCAACTTTGTCACAGGATGTTCTAAAGAATGCTTTCTTTGTCCGGTCTAACAAACGATGGAGTCGAACTCCTCCCAAGGAACAGAGTCCTTGATTTAGAATATGCCGATGGCATCGTCTTCCTGGGTGACAGTACACAGGTAGTCCGAAATGCTTTGAACCACTTGGTGATCGAGTTATATTTATATAATATAACAACAACCTGGGCTGCAGATATTCGCAGTTGTGAAACAATCATTCGGACGCAATACCCTCAACTATGCGAGAAAATGGTGAAGCTATTCCTAAGGTTCTTGTGCTATACGCGAATGACTGTTCTTCCTCCAGGAGTGCCAATGTAACCACGAATTTCCAAAAAGCATGAAGTGTAAAAACCCGTTCACTGAGAAAGTGCTAGAATCATCAAACGTGTCTCCTGCCGACGAATGTACCGCGAACTGAACAATAAGGCCCAGCGACAAAAATTCGTATACGAAAATCAATGTGAGCAATTTTAGAAATGAAGCAAGCAGAATACTGGACACGGATTAGATCAAAAGAATGAAGAACGTCATAGAACAGATGTCAACCGCAAACCGTCTGAATGAGACTAAACGGAAAGCCTGATAACTTAAGCGCAACACATTCAGGGTATTCCGAGCAGATTCACAACTGTTCCAAACATCAACTCACAACCAAAGAATAAGCAATTCCCATGAAAGGCCTGAAATTCAACCATCCAAATGTCAAGCAGATTGACTTCATCGCATCCGTGGAGAACGGATTAAGAAATTGCTCGTTTTTCGAAGAAAAAAGAGAAGAAATTAGGATCAATGGACATCAACAAATCGCCCAAAGGAAACAGTCGCGGTTGATCCATGATGCCGAAAGAAGAGCATTGAAATCGCGTAAAAAGGACTCTGATACTATCATCGTTCTGGCAGATAAAGGCAATGCAGTCGCATTTTTGGACAAAAGAGAATACGCAGAAAAGATAAAAGCTCATCGAAGGGAGATAAACTCAACAACCAGTCAACGGGAATCCCAAACAGCATCTGAGAAATCTACTGATCGAATCCTTTTCCATTCTCAAGAAATACAAGAAACCAACAGATGAAGAATATAGACGAATCAAATCCACAGAAGGTCCGATATCACGGTTCTGTGGACTACCGAAAGTGCACAAACCCCATGTACCACTACGACCCATCGTCGCGTCCACAACAGCACCCAACTACAATATCGTAATGTATCTCTTGTAGCTACTACTTCCATCCTTGCCTGAGAACCAAAATGGTATAAAACATCCCACAGTATCCCTGGAATGCATCAAGATACTGACGATCTAACCAATGGAAGTGATGGTCTCTTTCGACGTTACCTCACTGTTTAACAACATGCCGAAACAAGTGGCCATAGAATGTATTCGCTGCTCGTTTCAGAAAGACCAATATTTCCAATTAAGAACTACACTATTCGTAGACGAACTAGTGAACCTCGTAGAATTCCATATGGAAACTAACTTCCATTTGGACGGAGAGGTGTGCCAGCAGAAACAAGGAACTCCTATAGGTCCATCACTCTCAGGCATGCTTGCGTATGCGGTTGTGACGCATCTGAAATTCTACCACCTCGTCTGTGGATACGGTATGTGGATGACGCATTTGTCATATTCATAGCTTTCACAGCAGATCAGTTCCATCAAATGGTCAACAAACAGGTGCCTGGTATCGATTTCACATGAGATGAAGTGAAATATGGACAACTCAGTTATAACAGCTACCACACCTTGTGCCATCTGAAAAGTTGTTTTTGAACTCTGTTCCGCCGAGCGAACACACATTGCGGCACACGGGAGCTAAGGACAATAGATAGAAGTAAACTCTTTCAACTGCTCTTATGTAACGCGTATCACAGGAGTATTATCAACGCGTTCCTCAGGGGAAAAAAACAAACAGGCAAAAAAAGAGAATTCGGATAAAGTTACCCTACACACACCGAATGTTGGATGCCACCGAACGAATATTCCGACCTTTGACAATCAGGATAGCCCATAAACCAGTAGCAACAGTGAGATCGCTTCCCTTCAACGGTAAGGATTGAGTCGAACAACACGAACGTTCAGGTGTAATCTATGCAATCCCATGCCTGGGCTGCAATCAACGCTGTATAGGTGAGGCAGGAAAACACCTACGCACTCGCCAATATGAACACAATCTTACCCTCTGACGCGCTAACTCGAGGACTATGGAACCACTATACATGGACAGGTCAAGAGATCACGATCGACAACGCAAAGGTGGTGGCGCGTGTTAAGAAGAAGAGGGGATGATTAATCTTCGGAGAGCTACACTCGGCGAAATCGTTCAACCGACCCGTCGAGATAGGCAAACACTACGTCGCATGCGCAAAACTCGCGACGATTGGTGGACTGATAGACGCTTAAACAACACACAGATGCATGGAAAGACGGTAATCCCATTAGTTCAATCAATTCATTTATGTTTGACAATTAGTCTTAGTTTGGATTGAAACGTTACGATGAACATTTTACAACTTACTCTACCTAACAGCTATTTACATTTCTTAATCCCACATTTATTTATCCCTCTCGACGTCATCTGTTGACCTCCAGGTGGTTTATTTCACCCTGGAGAGACTACAGCGAATAAAGCGCGGCATACGCAATATGCGTCCTAACCAGTACAGCGAACTAATCTGAATTCGATGAGTGAGCAAGTTCATCCTTGATAAACTTCCAAACACACAGTGATTTACCTCGAGATTACTAACATATGCACACACAAAAAAAGTTGTTGTTCCACTTATTCGTAATCTTCTATTCTGACAATTACGTCTTTTTCCCTATACTCTGTATCCCACCCACCCCTAATATCGTTTTGGCGTTGGCACCAAGCTTGTTCTCAAGCCGGTGTTAAATATACTTATGTTATATATACATATATGTATATATACATATATATACATATATAAA